GTGGGCCTTCCATTGTCCACACCCAGAGCTATGCTAAATCTCTTGGTTGAATAATGAATACCACACAGTCTTAATCCCAACATCACACATCCTGGATCCAGACTGCTCTAAAAAGTCACATCAGCTGTGGAGACAGTTCAGTGTTCTAAGTATTTGCATGTGAAGCATAAGGACCTGGGCTTGATCCTTGGTACCACACGCCATGCTGGCCCCAGAACCACAGGTGCATGGTGCTCTTCTGGAAACCCAGTCTGCTGGCACATGCCTATAATCTCAGAACTGGTGAGGCTGAGACAGGGCAATCACTTTGAGTTCAAGTTTCATAGCAAGATGCTGCTCCAAATAAATATTTAAATAAATGATTTAAAAACTAAAAAATTTCTAAATGCCACACCTATGAGTGCATGAGGTTTTGGGGGACCTTGAAATACAAGCCAGAATACCTGACACGAGATCCTCTTATGCTGTCATCACTGGCCTACAACTCCTGTGCTCCATCATTTTGTTTTAACCTCCTGTACCCCTGAGCCTACAGCCATGTTCCTGCATTGGGATCCTTAGGAAAATTTGAAATCTATGATAGTAATTGTCCCTATGGCTCGCTATGGCAGTATGTCTCCAAAACACTTCATAATTGTGGAAAAAGTATAATTACTCCACTCTGCCTAGGGCCTGCAGAGAACAATGCATCACTAATTTCACATTTATTGGGAGATTCTTGGGTCAGTGTAAGGTGAATTCACTTCACAACAGGTGTAATGGAATTCTCATTTTATAATGTGACTCATATTTACAGATGGGGGCACGTTGCATAACTAGAAACTGATCAGTGCTTAATGTGACTCTAACATTTCACCTGATTGAAAGATTCTGTGATTGTGTCCTAATTTCTGCATCTGGTTCTAATCTGTTGGGATTTCCACAGACAGCAACAAATCAATCTCTAGACAGCAAGCACTTGAGCTGTTCCTGGAAAGATATGTCCACAGCAATTCCTGGAATGAATCACCAAGGAAAATGTTTATGATTATGGCATAACTTCTTATTCATATAAGAAACTTTGGTAAACAATATGAAAAAGGTCTTTACTTAACCTTGAGTATCTCATGCTTGCAAATATGACAAGAGACATAAGATTA